ACTGACTTGATGACTCCGACAGCGACGGTTTGTCTCATGTCACGAACGGCGAAACGTCCGAGTGGGGCATAGTCTGTGAAGGATTCAACGCAAAGTGGCTTGGTTGGGATGAGCTCGACGATTCCAGCATCTCCGGACTTGAGGAATTTTGGGAAGTCCTCGACCTTCTTACCGGTACGACGGTCCACCTGAAAAGTTTGATATAAAAAATGTCTTGAAAATATTATTAGTTACCTTCTCCTTAAGCTCGTTAAACTTGCAAGCAATGTGGGCGGTGTGGCAATCGAGAACTGGGGTGTATCCAGCGGCGATTTGTCCCGGGTGGTTCATGATGATGACCTGGGCGTGGAAGGTACGAGCCTCCTTGGCCGGGTCTTGCTTGGAGTCGGAGCAGACGGATCCACGACGGATGTCCTTGACGGAGACGTTCTTAACGTTGAATCCAACGTTGTCTCCTGGAACGGCCTCTGGGAGAGACTCGTGGTGCATCTCGACGGACTTGACTTCAGTGGTCACGTTCTGTGGAGCGAAGGTAACAACCATTCCTGGCTTGATGATTCCGGTCTCGACACGTCCGACTGGGACAGTTCCGATTCCTCCGATCTTGTACACGTCCTGGAGAGGGAGACGGAGTGGTCGGTCAGTTGGGCGTTGTGGTGGAATGATGGCGTCAAGAGCCTCGAGGAGGGTCTTTCCGGAAGCATTTCCTTCCTTGCGCTCAACAGCCCATCCCTTGAACCATGGCATGTTAGCGGAAGCCTCCAGCATGTTGTCTCCGTTGAATCCGGAGATTGGGACGAAGGCAACAGCCTTTGGATTGTATCCGATCTTCTTGATGAATCCAGAGACCTCGTTGGTGATCTCAGTGAAGCGAGCCTCAGAGAATGGTGGCTCGGTGGAGTCCATCTTGTTGCAGGCGACGATGAGCTGCTTGACTCCAAGGGTCTGGGCAAGAAGAGCGTGCTCACGGGTTTGTCCGTTCTTGGAGATTCCAGCCTCGAACTCTCCGGTTCCGCAAGCGACGACCAAAACGGCGCAATCAGCCTGGGAGGTTCCTGGAAAATACAATTTCTTAAAAGCATGACACGAAATCAATATTACCGGTGATCATGTTCTTGATGAAATCACGATGTCCTGGGGCATCGATGATGGTGATGTAGTACTTAGCGGTCTCGAACTTCCAGAGAGCGATATCGATGGTGATACCACGTTCACGCTCGGCCTTCAGCTTGTCGAGGACCCAAGCGTACTTGAAAGATCCCTTACCCATCTGTAAAAGAATCAATAAGAATCGGTTGGCCCAAATAACAAAATTACCTCCTGAGCCTCCTTCTCGAATTTCTCGATGGTTCTCTTGTCAATTCCTCCGCACTTGTAGATCAAGTGTCCGGTGGTGGTGGACTTTCCGGAGTCGACGTGTCCGATGACGACGATGTTGATATGAACCTTTTCTTTTCCCATGGCTGCTACGGAGTGAGCAAAGTGTTTCCCAACTGAAAGAAATAAATGTAAAATTATATAGACAAATCGAAAAACAGCGCTTAAGAAATAGTTAAGATGAGAAATAACAATTACGACGAAAAATATATGGAGAGCTTTCACACCAGTGCAAAAATTGAATTGCAACAAGTTGAGCTTTAAAAGGGATAACCGGAAAAAAAACAAAACAACGAGCAATAATCAACATGATTAGTCAGATGACGAGCAACGCACGTTAATTTCACAGGGCCCAAAAAATACCTTGACACTCTCCTTGCCTGCACATCTAACTCCCGCCGCGACCGGTGACCGTAATCTTTTTTGAACGCAGTTGGCGGGAAAGTAGCAACAGAGTCAAACAACAACGATTTTTTTCAAGTTTTCTCCGACAAATTAAAACGTAAAGAAGAAATAATTCCAGCAAAAATGTATAATTTCAGCAAAAATGTCCGAAGCAAGGGAAGTCGACAGTAGCAAGAAACAGAAAGTGCTGACATGGACCGAAAAATAGTGAGTGGTTATCTTTGGAAAGTAATGTTGCCCGAAGCGGGAGTTTAGTCTTTTTCTCAAATTTTTTTGAGTAGAAAAATTATTTTGATAATAACTTCTATGAAAATGTTGTTCGAGTATATATCCTAATCTTGAGTTTTTAGCCGACCGAAGACTCTTGACGATATCGCTCACCAAGAAGAAGTTGTCACAATGCTCAAAGGAGCTCTCCAAGGCAAAGATGTAACAGATAATTGGAAGTGTTATATTTCAAATAAAACTTTCAGTTGCCACATCTTCTGTTTTACGGTCCACCAGGAACTGGTAAAACATCTACAGCTCTAGCGTTCTGTCGTCAACTGTTTCCCAGTAGCATTTTTCGGTAAGGAAGAAAAATAATGCATTTTTAACACATAACCTGCAGAGATCGTGTGCTTGACTTGAATGCTTCCGATGAACGTGGAATTTCTGTTGTTCGGCAGAAGGTATGAAGATTCCAGAAGACTGCCGACGGAGACTATTCAATTTCAGATACAAGCTTTTTCAAAAACAACACTTGGTTCGAGTAACAAAGAGGATGTTTTGAGACTGAAGATTATTATTCTGGATGAGGTGGACGCAATGACAAGAGAAGCGCAAGCTGCCATGCGCAGAGTTATCGAAGATTTCTCGAAAACTACCCGTTTCATTCTGATTTGCAATTACGTATCTCGACTCATTCCACCAGTTGTCAGTCGATGTGCCAAATTCAGATTCAAATCTTTGCCAGCAGAAGTACAGGTTCAGAGGTGAATCTTTTCGATTTATTGTTTCTAATTTTCATATGTTTCAGACTTCGTACGATTTGTGACGCAGAAGGGACGCCAATGAGCGAAGATGAATTGAAGCAAGTGATGGAATACTCTGAAGGAGATTTGAGAAGAGCTGTTTGCACACTTCAGTCGCTGGCACCTATTCTAAAAAATGTGAGTTACATTCCGGTATTTCTATATGTTTATGATCAACTTGTGAACATTTGAAGGGCGACGAAAGTGCTCGCAACTGTTATCTTCGTGGTTCGTCGGATGCACTTCTCATTTCCGATCTCTGCAAAACCCTCCCTTCTGCCGATGTTCCTCAAATCATATCCATGACCAAAAGTATCACCAAGTCATGTACCGGAGTTGCTTTCATCCGCTGCTGTTTCCACCAAATGCTCGACGACAATCTTATTAACGACGAAAACATTTCTGTCATGGGAAAACTTGTGGCGGTAAGAAATTAATGGTCTCCGCACGGTCTCCCAAAGTGAAAATTTTTGAAAAAGCTCTCTCGTCGTCTCATTTTTCTTGGGTTAATAGAAGCTTATCACTAGACTCATGGAAACCACAGAAAAGTACGAATTCAAGCTATTTTTAGAGAGAAAACTATTTGCTTTGTTACTGAATCCTTCAGCTATTACCTGCACAAAATTTTGTGAAAATTGGAGCATTTTGAGCAAACTTATGAATCAATGAACGCCGTCTAGATCAAAACCCTGCATAACTCTGCGAGTATCTAACCAATCATCAATAGACCAAAAGTTTTTTAATGGATTGCTCTACAATTCCTCCGTCTTTGATTTTTGACTTTCGTCTCTGTTCGGATGTTAGGCGGTCAGAGAGTCGTCGATTGAGAGATTTTGGACTTTGGAGGCGATTTCCAGTTGGTTAAGTGTGGTCTTTTTTGCAAAAAGCAATCAAATATCAAATTTTCCATATTTTTTAATATGAAAGTTACTTAATTTGCATATAGAACAAGAAGAATTGCCCAAAAACTCAAAAAATCTAAAAAAGTTTTTCAAAGCTTCATAACTTGCTTGATAGTTTGAGATAAGTGTTGAAACTTATAACAGACAATCTCGGATATGATTTCTGTCACTCATAAAAAAATTGTCTGAAAATACCCATTTTTGAAGGTTTTTGGAACATTCTTAACAATTCATTCAGTTTTCCAATTAAATCTGTGAAAAAACTGTAGAGAGATGAAAAAGCGTGAGAGATGAAGAGACGCAGAGACATTTTTTTCTGTAGTTTTCTAATCAAAAATTTTCACGCTCGGAGACCGTGTCTCCGAACAATCCCCGAATAATTTCAATATTTTCAGGTTTGTGAGAAGCGTATTCTGGATGGATGCGACCTGGAGAACAACCTTCTCGATTTTCTTCTTACTCTCCGTGAAACAATTCATTGACTGCTGAACGTCGTGGATCAACTTTCATATCATATCTTAATTTACAATACCCGTGTATCATGTTTTAACCTCATGCATCAGTTTGTGGTCTCAAAACAAAGACATTTGGTTATAGAATTTCATGTTTTCACGCAGATCAAATGAATTTCCAATAAACGGTGTCAAAAGCCGTTTTCAGTTTTCCCAGATGTTTTCAATTGCAATACCTAATTACAGGTTCAGCCAAGAAAGAGATGTGCATATGCATTCAGAAAGATGTTTTCTCTTTTTTCGGTTCCCTCGCTCACTCATCGATTTCTTCCTCCCTTTTTCTCTCGGCTCCTTCTTTCTTTTTCAAAGAATCTATAGCACGTTTGCGTTTCTTTATTTTGGTCAGAATAAAGTTAATGTAAGCTAAATACTATTATTCGGGTCAGATTTCATTTCATATAATGAGAAGTATGCAAGTTTCTGAGATTTTGAGAAACTTTGAGAACATATCTTGCATTAGATTTCAGAGAATTTTTTGAAAAACTTCCAATTCGTATAAGAAGTGTCTGGACAGCGTCTTCTGGACCGTCTGCCAAACACGTGCCCGGTGGCTGAGTCTCCTCATAATCCGTTTACATTTTCTCGTTCATTCGCTTGTTCTTCACCTAGCCAACCTAACTTTCTATTTGCTCTTTTCCTGTATGTTTGTGTCCTTCTTCTTCATCTTCTCCTCCCACAAAATCTTTCATCATTCCGCCACGGGGAATTCCATTGTCTTGTTAATCACTCCTACTGTCTGTTTTCTGTATTTCTATTTTTTAGAAGACATAAATTCGCTTTTAGATTCAGTTATGGGCAATGTGGCCACCCGAAAACGTCCTGGGTGCCATCATACTGCCAGAAGTGATGAGAACGAAGAAGAAGAAGATGGACCAGCCAGGAAAAGATTGAGGATTGCAGAAAATCATACAGAAAATGAATATCAGAAGGTCCGTATTAAACTGAAAATAATGAAAACATACAGTGAGACCTGCAATAGAAGGGTCCCTAAACTTTTAAATTTAAGCCTTATTATCTGGGTTCCTGTCGCAGATGCAAAAAAGTTGTTCACTAACAAATTTTTCATCATAATATCAGCAATATTTTATCAGTTCACAGATTTTTGATTTCTTTCATAGGAACAGAGATAGTTGAGCTCAAACTGAGCAGTGTGTAAACTTTCTTCGATTTCTGAGTTGTAATCCTGATTGTTCTCAAATTCATTTAATTATACTTCAAACAACAAAATATAATAGTTCATTGTTTGATGATTTGATCAGTAACTGTATTTTTAGCAAACATCACAAGGTAATCTCTAACTGATCAATTGTGTGTTAAATTTGTTATTCAACACCCCGAAACTAATCTTTTTTTCAGCTCGCCTTCAAATCCCGTCTACAAAAACTCAAGAATTGTCGGCCCCATTTAAAAAGGAGAACATACAAAGTTGAAGAAGGTGAGATCGGCATGCCAACAGGAGTATTAATTCCTGAATCCCATTGTTTACCCACTTTTTCATGTTTGTGTGTGAGCATAGCTCACCACCACTTTTTGATATTGATAATGATCCGTGTCCGTCGGCACTTAAGATCAGATGAGATGATTTGTAGTGTAAGTACATACACGATCAAAAATGAAAAAAAAACTGTCACTGATGTTAGCGAAAATCAAAAAAGGGGACACTATAAACCCTGTAATAGAAGGGTCCCCTAATTTTTATCTTTGAGCAAATTTATCTCGGTTCTTGTCAAATGTTTTGAAGGTTTTACTGTTAACTATCCCTCAGGTCCTGGTCCTCTCTTTCTATTATGGTCCCACCCGCAGTGTCTATTTTTCCTCATCTTCTCTTCGGTTCCTAGTTTCTTGACAGTTTGAGTGCAGACTTCAAATTTTCAGCCGATCCTCGTCCTCCGTTACCCAGATTCATTGTGGACGACTACGACAACTATGAAAAACGTTAGCTTTGGAGGTTCTTGCCTCATTGAAAACAATGAAATTTTAGCTGAAACTGCGAATCGAAAAGAATTTGCTATTCCATGGTTTGAGCATCTTTTCCTGCCTGAATTCCCAACAAGAAGTGTCATCAATGAGAAGAGTTTTATTCTGGAACGCCAATTAGGTCGTGGATCGTTTGGAGTTGTTTATTGTGCAAGTGCAATTCATGACT